TCATTCACTCTCGTACAGTTCTCTTGGAATGGGAATGTGCAGTTATTGTTTCACGATGACACGAATAATAGTTCCTGTGACATATTGGATTAATTAAAAGATTAATTTTGCAGGGGACTTCTATACTGGGTTCTAATCTGCATCTAAAATAACAAAAGGAAGTCCATCTGGCACAAATAATCCTTTGATAATATAAAAGCACAATGTCAGATATTTATTCGTGACCCACACATTATGTCCCCGAGTTAAACTACTGTTTAACACTGCACTCTATAATATTCCACCTGTATGATTGGCGTCTTCAAGTCTTCGTGGCTGGAACAAAAATCCAGTGATTGATATCATGAACAACGATCGAGTCTCTAGGGGCAGGGTGACACGCCAGCAAAATACGGAAACTGGCAACCAGATCCATTTGAATAACTCTAACGACCAGAATACATTTTTTAACATTAAATATAGAATCCAGACACTATAAGGTAAGATTACATGGTAAATCTAATAATTCTATGCGTACAAAAAAAGAAGAAAAGAAGAAGATTGCATGCCTGACCACCTACGTAAGGTGCCATTGGTAGCAGAAGAAGGTAGCCATGGCAAAGACCGATGGCACTGAATCAATCTGTATTGTAAACTCGGTCACACCTCCACGATCAACCATCGACAAGAGCACCTAGGGCAATCTATCTACAGTGCAAATACCACATTCTGATGCCAATATTATGACGTTCATCTCCCCGGACCATAATATGCCCGGAGTAATTATCATCTTGTCACTATTATCATTAAATGGCAACTCTAGAGTATCGCGCCCTTAAAGATGCCCGGAAGCAGTGTGGCTTTCTGTAGCAATCCCGTATTGTGGGGTCGGAGGGAGTGCTATGGATATAACTCTTCCAGAGCGTATTGATCACGTATATATGAGGCCCAATCTACTCGAGGCCCGAGGAATTCTTCAGATATCAGATATCTTTGAACAGACGCCCAAATATACCATGGTATTTCGGCAAAGGACAAATTAGAAAACAAATTGTCTCTCCTGAGGAAGGATGATTGGAAACAGTGTTCTACTACACATATCGAAAGGATATGTCTGGTAAGTCCCTTTCAGGGCGTATTGTTGACTAACGGGTGCGTGAACAGCCTTATTACGACGGCATCTACAACAACCTCACCGACAAACAAGTCGGGAACGTCTTCAAGGCCATGTTCGATCGCAATCAAAACACATTCACTTCCTCCACTATTGATATCCTGTCCCACACTTTCTTCTCTAACTCTGTACAAAGGGCAATGTCGGTTTCATGGCTTTTACATTAAGTCGGTTTATTTGCTTGATGCCTAACGTCACAGAGAGCAATATTGTACCTACATGACGGCGGTTAGTAAAAGACATTCCAGTGATTGACATCCCGAAAATCAATTTACACCGTTGGTGTATGTACAATGACAAGCAGTAAGACAAATGACCGAGCGTGACCACTCGATCGGTGAAGTTGCCCCGTGTATCAAGCTTAGGAAGTACGGGGCTTAAAGTCTTACCCGGGACCCCAAGGATGATTAAATCAACACAGGTTTGGGAGTTTTCTCTCTTAACCTCGGGAGCCGATGATTTTGGGGTTGAAATCCAGAATGTGCCCGACTAGCTGGGTCTTTATCCTTGATGTTTCAACGCCATTGGCCTTTTATCCAAAATGTTCAAGAACAAACACACACCTGAGACAGTGATATCAGTGCCCCTGCACGACTGACTGACTGACTGAGTTTAGTTTTACGCCGCTTTTAGCAATATTCCAGCAATATCACGGCGGGGGGACACCAGAAATGGGCTTAACACATTGTGCCAATGTGGGGAATCGAACCCGGGTCTTCGGCGTGACGAGCCAACGCTTTAACCACTAGGCTGGAGAGCCACTTAAGGACATAGCTAGAATTCCAATATCAATATTACAAAGTGTTCCGAAATTCCTGAAAATTTGCTAAGTAGCGTAAAACCATTACGCTACCACTCATTTTAAGACACGTGTTCAAGGACTCAGTAAAACTTGTAAAACGTTTTATAGTGGACAGGTGAGTGGCATTTCCAAATATGAACGCCTGGTATCATCAATATATCAGGGTGGTTAATAAAAACAAGCTCGTGATGAATTCTACGATCGACTCTGCGTTTGCCAGATATTTCTTACGGATGTGTAAAGGCTGTGTCGTTATATTTACACGGTGCAATCGTTGGGGCATGACTGTCGTGGCTGGCATCAAATGTGATGACTTTCCCGAAGTGTTGAAGAGACCGCTGGAACTAATGACTACGTGAATGGTGCTTTACAGACCAAGGATCACATTCGCTGCGTTTTATGAAAATGGGTTCCAGTTCCTGAAACAGTCTAAACTGAAGTTTTCCCCATGGTTACAACGCCAGTAACAATTTACACTTAGAAGTGGTGTAGTGGTTAGAGCGTCCGCCCGGAGAGCGGAAGGTCGCGGGTTCGATCCCCGACCGCGTCATACCAAAAAGACGTTAAAATATGGTACTTGTTGGTCCCTGGCTGGCGCTCGGAATTAATGGGTACAACAAGGACTGGTCGGCTCGGAGTCAGTATGATGTGTCATGCTTCACTGCGGCATGGTATCTCAGTGGGCTAGCACTATAAAACCAGCTTCAGTCTGGGCTAGTACAAGCCGCCGCACATACACTTACACACGCATGCACGTCGTCATATGAGCGAAATATTCTCAAGCACGACGTTAAACCCAATCCCACCACCACCACTACTACACGGAGAAATCGTATGGGTATGACTGTCGTGGCTGGCGTCCTGGACCAAATGTGATGAAGTTCCAGATGTGTTGCAGATCAGAGACTGCTGGAACCAATGACTTCTTGTATTGTGCTTGACAGACCAAGGATCACATTCGCGGCGATCTATGAAAAAAGTGTTCCAGTTCCTGAAAGAGTTTAAACTGAAGTTCTTCCTGTGACTACAGCGCCAATAACAATTGCCTCGCTTTGCCCACCCTGACAACACATCTCCAGTTAACGTGGTATAATTTGACGCTTGTGGCTTACCACACATATGCAGGGTCAGTGAAGTGAATCTCTTTACAGCGAGGAGACTTCAGCGTGTGCTAAAACACATTAACATGTCTCCGGCTTAACTTATAGTTATTGCTTCTGATCGTTATGTCCATTCTTTTAATGGTTATGTTGACAGAATAGACTTCTATTCAGCAAATACGACCCGCGAGAGATTACACTTTGAAGTGTAAATGCCCTAGTGTCGTGAAAGGTAAATGTCCAGTCCAATTGTACACCACTGGCTGTTCCTGAAAGCGCTGTTTAGAGCCCCGCGCGTCTGATAAATGCTGTTAGTTGTAAAAACAGACGCGCGGTTACATGAAGACATGCCCGTTATTGGATTTCCAAGATTCACTGTCTCCGATACTCTGGAGGTTCCAGCAAATGTACGACTCAGTTCTTCTCCCAAACATTAACTAATGCAATCAAAGCCATCTTTTCTTTCTATTCACATACGTCTGTAAAGTTGGTCGAACTAATACCACGTGGATTCTCAAGAACTCAAAGGATATGCATGAACATTTACAATCTCAGAAGGGAAGTTTAATTTTGTCAGACAAAGATTTCCTTTTACAACTCTATTCCATAAGACAAATTTAATTACAATCTTCATTCTTGATCCACGGGATATTTGTCACTAAACGTGGATACGAGATGTAGTTAGATTTCTATTCCCAAAGGTCTATTTGTCATAAATGAAAGCAAATGTCATCGTAACTTTTAACGAGAAAACTTTACGTTAAATGCTTGACTTTCTCATGGACAACACCCAATCACGTTTTGAGATAAGACATCTGGGCAAGAAGTAGGCATCGCCAGGAAGACAGACCGTGTTCCCCACCTTCCTGATTTCCTTCTTCATACAGACTTTCAACCTAAGCATCCGGAATACCCAAGATATCAATGTTTCACTGATTCTCAAAGCGCCAGTTCCTTATCAATATCAGCACTTTTCCCAATTCCTTATCAATTTCCCAAACCGTTTCTAAACTATACTTTCCCGTTATGTCAAGCGATATTTAAACAAGTCCGTGGTAATTCACAACTTTTGGAGCGTAATGGAGTAAGCGCTTTCCACATAGATATCAAGGGCCAACATACGACTTCTTTAACCAGTTTTAGTACATTTCCTACCTTTCTGATTTCTTTCTTTATGCATACGGACTTTCAGCCTAAGCCTCCGGAAAACCCAAGATATCAATGGTTCACTGTTTCTCAAAGAGCCAGTCCTTTATCAATTCCAGCACTTTCTACAAACCGTAGGCTATACTTGCCCTTTATGTCAATATTTAAACAATTCCATGGTAATTCACAACTTTTGGAGTATAATGAAATAATATCTTTCCATAAAGAGAGCAAGCCCGACATACGACGTCTTCTTAAAAGTGACCAATATATATAATATTCAAAGCCTCAGTAAAGCTCTTCCAATCTGCTGCATTGGTGTCCATAATGATGCCCGATGCTACTTCTGCTTGTGTTTGCTGAGTGAACAACTGACTTACCTCTGCCTGTGTTTGTGACAAACCAGATTTCAGGGCAACTTTTACAACTGACACTGGTAATAACTACATTTTAACTACATTTACATCTAAATAAACCAAATCGTCACTCGCTATATACACCGGTGACTGGAGATAGACAACATTGCCCCACATAATTTACATGCGATAAAAATACATTTCCACACTATGTGTACACCTGCGACTGTTGATAGACGACATTGTCAAGCAATATTTACAACTTTGACAGTAGATAACACACAGTCATACACATATTAAAAGAACACAGATTGTCCAAGGGGTTTCCCGCAACGAAACCAAGCTGTGTCCAATACAAGCAATCCAATATAAGCAATGTGTTCACTTGTCCATCATATGGCGACAGCAATCATGTAACAGTAAGTGCTAAAAGTTATACTTACACAACCGCTAAATTTGCTTTAACTGTAGCGGATAGAAACCGTAGTCCTTGACGCAGAGAGTGCATCCTCCCGGATTTGATGTGTCTGAAACAAGTGTAGAAAATATCTATAGATTATCATACCTGAGCAAACTGACCCTAAACTTAAACTAACTGATATACCTGAACGTTAAAACCGGCTTCACATGATACCTAAAGAGAAACCGCTCGCTTGATGTCAATGTTATCCGGAGCTAACTGTATCTTCAACGTATGTCTTAACTGTTCAAACTGCGTATATATAATGTACACAAACTACCTAGTTGAGTGGCTAAGGGTTTAGGTAGGAATAGTAAATGTACACTATCCCCAAAAAGAAACGCACAGGCGATTTCCCTTTTTAAAAATCAATTAATTACCTATTGTGTTCAAACAATCGTCAAAATATGTAACAAAAGTGTTGATAACATGATTTTACACAATTGCACAAGTAAAAAATCGATTTTACCTGAAAATGTTGATTTTGATGAGATTTCTTACAAGGATTAAAAAGGCTTCGCCACAACGCAACAGAAATCACCTTCAAGTTGATATTGTGCAGCAAAGAGCATGCACTGTCTGGCAATAAAATCCAGATTACTTTCAGAAATTGGCATTCGTTTTGAAGGAGTTTCAAGGTCAAATCACTACGCCACGTCTTGACTCTGCGACACGGAACTTCGCCATTGAAAGAATGCACGCTGGAGATAACCAATCATTTGTTGCCAGGCGTCTGAATGTTAGTCTGAGCAAGATATATATATATATATATCGTATCCCAGTTGCGTTGATTAATGCTCATGATGTTGATCACTGGATTGTCTGGTTCACACTCGAACATTTACAGATATAACGTCATAGCTTGAAAATTGCTGAGTGCGGCGTAAAACTAAACTTACTCACTAATAAAGATAAGCCAGACTCGATTATTTACAGTTCTAAGATGCCCAGCGGTTAGAACAATCGAAAAAAAAAACCATTATCAGACAATAAAGGTATAGTTTTTTGATGACGTAACAATTGAATGACGTTATCCCGTCACTGCGCCATTCTAGTGTGCCCCCTCGTAATCGAACCATTTTACATTACGTCACAATGTAAGCGATGTCACGATGCATGTCAGTTGTCATCGCCTCGTACGGCCTCCTACAGTAAACTACACCGTTGCATCCCGTTTCTTGGTTTGCTGTTGCTTCACGCAGCTAACATCACTGGTGGAAACATTACGTTTATGTTTTACTACGGTTAAAATGTGTCATTTCGACTCACAAGTTTTCAGCAACACGGTAACGTTCGCAATGTTTACATTCCCACAATGCAATCGTGGAATGTCGCTTGACTACTCAACTTCCTCTGGATGTACTGATCTAAACTTACGTTGGTAGTAGAAATGCAACGTTCATATTGCCCCATATGGTTTACGTTAATGACAGATGTAATTAAAATAATTCAGAGAAGATATTTAATCCGAACGTAAACCGTCATCAAACTGTTATCTTTTGTTTTTTTTCTGGTAACGTTCGTCTTAACGTAGGGGGCAGACACATCAATAGAACAGCGCGCCAGTAAGCCCTGTGCGAGGATTCTTAATTTAGGTCACAGACACCGTCGTTTGTTTTCTGCCTTAAATTAATCGTAATTATCCTTAGAAAGTATTAAATTTGGCATCTTAGAAAAGAAATACAGTTCGCCCTACCACCATGTATAGTGTAATAAAACACACTTTCGCCCTGAACTATTATAACGTTAAAGCACTCGGACGCAAGCGTCCTCGTGCTTTTACTATAATAGTTCAGGGCAAAAGTGTGTTTTATTACACTATACATGGTGGTAGAGCGAAGTGTATAATTTTCTTAAATATAACGTCATATAACTGTAATATTCCAGAGTGCGGCGTTAAACAACAGTCACTCAAACCACTCTTCTCTGTGAAGACAGTTCCAGTAGTTATCGACGATGCTTCCAAAATTCAAATCTGGCATAAACAACTCAAGGTAATATTTCTTCTGTGAATCAATTCCTGTCTTCAAGTAGTTTCCACTATACGTAAAACATTCCCAGAGGCGACCAAATTGTGTGGCTCACCAAATTGTTTGTCATCGTTGAAAAACAATCTATTTTCCCAATGTTTTTTTCAAATTCACTCTAAAATACAATTCACCAATCAGATGATTTGCTGCAGTACAGAAAACATAAGTAGTTACCATTATACATATAGTAGCATCTCCAGAAGCGACAAACTTGAGTGCCTCCTCACAATTTTGTCCATCATTGAAAACCATTTTTGTAATGTTTCACAAAATCGCTTCCAAAATAACTAACCAATCAGATGATCAGAAGGTAAACACATGCAGAGAATAAAGGGATAAGGAATAATATCTACAAAACGTGACCAAGTAATAGCTATTGTAATTAGTACACGAGCACTGGCAAATAACGTTTACTTAACTACCCCTTACCACTGCGAGCCTTTCAATAATACACGATCGGCTGTGTAAAAGGCCGTGGATTCTGGTATTAGGCGGAATTTATTTGCTGAACGGTATCCACAGATAGCTCAACGATTTATCATCCCGACAGGCTGCAGATGGATTTTTATGTGGGAGGCAGTCCGGATGTAGATGGTTGTCCCGTTGATGGAAACCACGGCCGCGGCGTCGGTGCGAACAAACCAAGTAGGTAGGTAGATGCGGCTTTAGGGCGACCTTGGGCCTTAAAAGGCCTATATGCGCCCAACACTTAACAAACTGTTATATTTATGTTCAGTTAAATTACGTCGTACTTACCCGTTTTAACGAGGAAGTCTAAGACAGCTCTTTGTATGCAACCATACATTAAATTATCGCCAAGTACTCTGTGTACTGAGCCTGTTTCTCCATGCAAACAAACTTGAATTAGCTAAAAGCGGCGTAAAACCATACTCACTCACTTTAAGAGGCGATACATGTGACTCATCTACCAAACGTTAGGGATCCTAAACAGTATTTAAAGAAGCACGAAGGACGACAAATTCAATCGAGGACATCATTATAATCCTAAAACCAGGACCCAACAAATCATAATTTCATATTTGCACAAAGTGGTATTACCGCTACGTGCATTAACATTTGAAGATTGAATTCTACACGAGTTTAATGCAGCTATATGAAAGTGTGTCTGTAATCCAAATCAATTCTATTTAGTCAGGTTAATGGCCAAATTTCCTCGTATTTATCACTCGTCGGTATTCCTGTAAAGCCATCGATTCGTCAAATATGTGTCACCGTCTACAAAGAAAATCTATTTGGGAGGTCTCGTCTTTCACTAGAGCCCCATAACTCAATTCTGATGGTTCTCCTTCCTTACCAGCTCCATGGTTTACATCCAGAACTAACAAGGCGGTAAGCAGCGAGAATGTTTGCAGGTAATTGGTAATTAATAGCTGTGATTTGTCAAGGATTAGATTTCTGGAAGAACGACGTTGATATGTATCTTTAGTTTAAAGGCTAGCCAGGATTTAAGGATGACGAATGTCTTAAATGTAATGGATTGATTGTTAGTGTAAATAAGACGTCGACACCAGCTTTCTTCCCAATATGACATTAATTACTGTAAGCCTGAAGCTTATACAACAGATCCGGTTATTAGTGGAACAAGTCAGACTTGAACCTGATGCTCGACAAAGGTAGGTCCAAGGAGTGAAAGCGGCATACAGACTTATGTGGAATTCTTTTATGAAGTGGGTGAGTGGGTGAGTGGGTGAGTGAGTGGGTGACTGGGTGGGTGGGTGAGTGAGTGAGTGGGTGAGTGAGTGGGTGGGTGAGTGGGTGGGTGAGTGGGTGAGTGAGTGGGTGAGTGGGTGAGTGGGTGAGTGAATGGGTGAGTGAGTGGGTGAGTGGGTGGGTGGGTGAGTGAGTGGGTGAGTGGGTGAGTGAGTGAGTGAGTGAGTGGGTGAGTGGGTGAGTGAGTATGGTTTTATGCCTCTTTTTAGCAATATTCCAGCAATATCACGACCGGGGACACCAGAAATGAGGTTCACACATTTTACCCATGTGAGGAATCGAACCCGTCTCATCGGCATGACGACCGACCGATTTAACCACTAGGCTACCCCACCGCCCCTCTTATTAAATGTTCCACCAAGGCTGTCTGCAACTTCCAAATTCAAATATGTTATTAGTTGATTTCTAAAGAACGTTTTAAGATTCGGCCGAAAATGGAATGGTTTCTTAATGCGTTTTGCATTTTTATCGGAACCGGCATACGGATTACCCATTCGCAAGAAGTAAGAGGGTTTTGAATACATTATGTATTTTATTGAAAATATTGGCGATAAAGTAAAGCTACCCATCCACCCAACCTCCAGCATGAAAATGTTTTAGAGGTAATACGACTTGTAAAAGTTAATTTTGCATTTGGAATGAAATACACGAAGTGTCGATTTCGAACCCCTCCAATCCTCATCTCAATCACAGAGATCCCAATGATGTATTCAGGGTATACTCTCACCCGTAATACCCCTATTGGGATCCTCGCAGGTTGCACTGAACACCTTTACTACCTCAGCTTCTCCAAGGGGTTCAAGAAAGACGGTAAATGAGATATTGCTACTAATTAGTCTCACACTCGGTACACGTGGTCCAAGAATTGACCGAAACATTCTCACCTTGGCCAGGATGTAAGTTAGAAAACACGCACTAATAAACCGGAATTTCTTTATAGCAGCCAATTCTGATGCAGACTACCCATTCATTAGGGTCTGACTAAAAATGCCTAACGTTACAGATGTGGAAAGGGTTGTGTCGCCTCTATCATACTTATCATAATAGTGTTGATCAAACGCTCAGCGGGTGATCAGTCCGATTGGTAATTGTTTGGGACATTGTTCTGTTAGTTCCATCAGGGGTTGTCCAGGTTTTATGGTGTCAGCAGCCATGAGCATATACATGGATGTGTGTTGGATTTACCTGAGCAGGGAAGATCCGGGTTAGAATTGGTCCTGAGCAGCCCATGCTTGTAAGAGGCGACTGACGGGATCGGGTGGTCAGGCTCGCTGACTTGGATGACATGGCATCGTATCACAACTTC